TCAATATTCCAGGTATTGGATTGAATCAATATTCCAGGTGTTGGATTGAATCATGAAAATTAAAAGATTGAATTGAACCAAAAGTTTTATTTGCCATTGGATTGAATGCCTTTTTATATGTTTAAATAAAACCAATATTTAAATAAAGGATTAAACATATATTGCAAGGATTAAATTTTGCTTCCTCCCACATTTTACAATGTTTTAGTGAATAATTTATGAATTTCCTGTGAAAAAGGAGCCAGATCCCCCTCCCCCTGGGGCAGGTGATTGGTGGGTGCATTGATGCATGCAGCAGCTGAGGTCAGTGGATGAAGTTTCACACTCAACTGACTTGAGTGTCTCAGGTGAAGAATTTTTACAAGATTAATATTGATGCATAGTCTTTACTCATACATTTTTTGGTTTTAATTGAGGACAAAGTCATTTAGCAATGCTGGCTATGCGGCAAAATTGCACAAGAATGTTTAGAAATCTTACAATTTGCATATTTTTGCACCAGACCAACTAAAGGAAGAGAGTGACGAAATGTTTTTTGTTTTTTTGGAGCAACTTTTGAGCAACTTTCGTGCACAAAAAGCAACTTCTGACCTTTTTTGAGCAACTTTCAAAGAATTTGCAGGCAACTTGTGGATAGCCCAACCCTCTGTTTACATGTATGTGTATCACTGGTGTCACAGTGTCACTGGTCAATACAAGTGTAACCTGCCCGAGAAGCATGCTGTGTTATTTGGGAATCCAAACTCTAGGCTATGTTTATAATGAATCCTGCACAAAAAGGTTCTAAAAACTTTTTCTGTGGAGGCCACTTCTCTATCATGATGTCAATTACCACTGTCAAGCCACAATTGCATTTAATAAAAAAATATATATATGACACACTTGTCAAAAATAGAAAATAATGCTATAATGATTGCAATATTGTAAAAAAAAAAAAAACAACAAATCTCATGAAATGATGAAAATCCTTTCAAACCACTATGTGGAGAAGCCCGTCGAAACATGGTTGCCATAGAAATACCGTGTCAATTGACTCTCTAAAAGATATTATTAACACTCCCCATCTTCTTGGCTCTCCCCCAGCCTGGTTCTCAAAGTCAAAATGTGAACTACGAAAACTTTTTCTCGATTTTGAGTCGACATAGTAACTCATGTATTCGAATTTGGTTATATTTCTCCAAGAGAAACTAATTTCTGAGACAGAAGCGCTATCTAGCGTACGTCAGCGAGAATGAGTTTTTGGCGCCGAGAATATTTCCGTTAAAACGTTTCCCGGGCATTTTTAGCTCGGCTCAGAAAGTCTCCCGAACTAAAAACATAAAAACAGCTTTGGGCAGATGCTGCCATCTTTCTATCAAGCCGTTCCCTAAGAGCTGAAATTTGATAAATTCTCTTACCTGAGTTGTCAATAGCCCTCCTGTCGTCAAATGGAATCTTGTTCTTGAGGTACAGCAGATCATCGATTTCTCCTGGAGAAGCCTTCTTGGTCTCTGTTCCCCGCCTTATATAGAAGCGATGGTCTCCTTTCTCGCTTTCTTTGCACTTATGTGGCCTGTTATCGGAGGCCATGGCCCAAAGCACTAATACATGCTTTCTTTCTCCCAGGCTTTCCACGACTTCAGGTGACAGGATGGGGAAGTATTCGGGCTTGATGTTTGCTCGGCACGCTCCCAAAATCTCCTTTTGTACTCGATCTAGGTCCCTTCCTGGAACACCTAGTGGCGGAAGAATGATTTGGCGATCATCTCCTTGATCTTCCCAGTTTTCCTTTTCTTCCACGCCAATAATTATGTATCCGCCATTGTCATTGTAAAAGTCGTTCGCGAAGGCGCAAATTGTATGAACAATTTGCCAATACGTTCCACCTTCTTTTCTACTGTGCCACGCTTTCTTGAATTCAACTCTTTGTTTCTCCACTCCTTGTAAACTCAGTAGATCGTTTACATTGATTAAAAGACTCGAAGCAGAGCGGGCCATCTCTGCTAACTCCTGCTTTCTTCTTTGCGTTTTCTCGAAAAGGCAGCGATCAATTAGACAAATAACTACTGTAGCAGAAAACCCAGACATCACGCGATGCTTGGCAGAGCTCCAAGCACCACGCGATTGCGTGACACAACCCCCCTGGATTGGGCAGCCTGGTGACACTTGTTTTAGAGTGTGAAGAAATTTACTGTCGAACCCAACAAGTGTAATGTGAGTGAGTGTAACGCGCTAAAGTAACCAGGAGCGCATTTAAACTTCCGGTTTTTTGGGAATTCGGTCTTACTCGATCTGGCCCAATCTGGCCCAATCTGGCCCAATCTAGCCCTTATTGACGATTAATTTTTGTGATTTATACCTGTTTGCTTATTCTTGGAAAGTGCTAGTTTTTAATCGGCTTATTGTGATCCATAGATTTTTTTACGTTAAGGTTGATTGAATTTAGTTTTTGTAGGACTTCAGTATTAGCTAGTATTTACGACACCTGTTCTAAACCTGTGCACGCTTTTTGGCACAGGACCAGTTTTTCATTGTTTATGAACCAATCGTAACCAAGTTACGTTATTTCGCATGCAAATAGTCGTTAAATCATCAACCGCAGAATAAATCTCTAAATTCAACGGTCGACAGAGTCGCTAAAATCAACTGAAAAAATCCTTTGAAAATTTTTGTCATCTGTCATTCTGCCACGAATAACTATAGCATGTGATTACTAAACTACATCTGAGTGGGGTTTTAAGGCAATAACATTGATAAGATGCGAACAAATGTATTTTTATTTAGAGACATGTGCCGAACCGTGAAACCCTTCCAAATATAATATTTCACGGGTTGAAATGATAGTCGAATACCAGTGAAATCTAAAATCAGTAAGCGCGAATCAGTTTCTGGGTGATTCGTCTTCGAGTGATTCGAGTCCTATATGGACCTTCCGCCGGGACGAAAAATAGCGGCCGTTGCTCAGAGCTCGAGGTGGCCGTTGTACAGAGGTGGCTGTTAGTGGAGGTTCGACTGAATTACAAAAACTAATTGGAATCTTCTTCAGCATCGCAGCTTGTACTGACGTAGTTTCAGCACCGCCTAGAAATTACTTATTTCCTTCTAAATGACCATAATAATTTTT